CGGAGCAAGAAGCCGGGGTCCGATGAGCCGGTGGAGGCCGATGAGGTTAGGGGGAGGAGGACTTCGCCGAGGAAGAAGAAATCCGTGTTGTAGTTTTTTTTTAATATTTATTTATAAAGTTGGTCCTTGTTTTTAGCTTATGTGTCTTTTTTTCACCCTTATGCAAGATTTTGCAAATTAATCAAATATGAACTTTTGCATTTTGCAAATTAATCAATCATTACTGTTGTTATCGTCGCAACATTGGGTATCCGCTCTTCACAGCCGCGCATTCTTGAGAATTAAATCAACACTTTTTACAAGCAAAGTATGAGCATGTTGTACAGTTCACCAACTTGAACTAATAAGCTTCAGAGGTTAATGAATTTTTACCTCTAAGTTAAATTAAAAAGTTCGCAAAATGAGATTACATATATTTTCTAAGTCGATCGGGAAGGAGAGTGAAGAGAGGCAGAAGCTTGAACTTACAAAATGAGCCTCTCACATATTTCCAGTTTCAGATATGATCCTCTCAATCTCTTCCAAAAGGCGTTCCTTTTCATCGGACAAATCCTCAGTTTGCTTCTGCAGCTCTTCGATTTGTTTGGTCTGTTCTGAATCCTTCCTGAAAATTGCAGTATTCATCAGTTATCGCTTTTCAGGGAATGATCCTATTACAAGAGCAGAGAGCTTGACACACGGGAGCCTCGACAACAGCCACGAGGATAGAGAGGTAAACTTGGAGAAGAACAGGGCAGAATCAAACTTAGATAAAAGTTCCATGTTATCCAATTAATAGTGGAAGATGTGGGCTTGCCTATTCATGAAAGACAAATTCAGTTTGAGCGATCGAACTTCCTTCTCGAGAGTTTCGCAGCGCTTGAGTACTGATTGCATGTCTGATGGTAGAGTTGGCGTCGAACTTCTTTCCTTCGCTTCTTGCATCCTGAGACCAAGCGATCAAAATTGACATCAATAGGAGTTATTTTAGTGTCAATACAGATCCGAATGCACTCAAAAATTCTCAACAGGATTCAGGTTGAAGAACACGTACTTGCGTGAGCGCTCCACCCTGCGTTTCTTTGTGGGGTCTCCTTTATCCACTGCATACACCCTTTTCTAGTTAGAATATTTTTTAAGCACTATATACTGTCACTGAAAAATAACTCAGCAATACAGATTTCATGACTAATAACCAGATAATTTTGACCGGCACTTAAATAGTATGGTTTACACAAGATCAAAGCCTTTACTCCAAATTCTTCGTGTCGGGAAATTGAAGCGACGATTACATGACACAAGGAACATGGAACTAACCTGAACCACATGATGAAACAGAGCCCATCCGAACTATATTTCGTTTCTAAAGAAATAAAATATAAAACTGATTAGCAAGCTAGAATCTTCATCTCATTCTTATCTATGTATATGGAAAATGATCTCTAATATCAAAGTATATGTTACCTTCCTATCATCCTTTAAATTGTTTTCCAAAATTCTTTCCCTGTATTCTGCACCAGAAAAGGATAACATGGAACATCAAAATCCACAAAAAAGCAAGGTATACAAAGTTAAGCTTTCTTCATAAAAAATGAAATGAAGGAATAAGCTGGTACATATCACAAAAAACAAGTTTAAATCAGAAATCGATCTACTGCAAAATGTAACTGATAGCATACAAGTGTAGCTCCAACCTCTTCACGCACCGAACTATCTACTAAGACTTCTGAACTGATAAAAGCTCTTCTCCATGTAGATGAACAATATTCGGATCATATTTGAATATTAAAACAAGAATGAGAAAGAAAAAATGGGGTTCTGAAGAGTATTAAAATAGCACACACTAATGAAATGTTACTATGCAGAACATAATAGGCTTCCTCCAAGGCTTAGGGGTACAAAAACTCAAAAATGGCATGATATATATGCACCAAGAGTCAATACCATACAAAAAAGGGCCAAAAATTCATCATCTACAGGATAGTTTAGAGTCCGAGAAAAGCATATCCAAGAACAAAAGTACTGAGAACATGACCTTTACTATAGTATGGGAAGGACACATGATGTAACCACAGATAAAAACTAAAACTATTGGAAGGAATTATTGACAGCATTACTTGGAAAGGAAAATGCCAGTTTTACGCTTTCAGAAAATCATAAAGAATGGACAAACCTTTGGCCTTTGATGCATGAGCTGAATTTCCATTGCTAATGTTTTTCCTTGTACTCTCACAAACAGAAAATGTTTGTCCTGAGTTGATGGCGTTATCACAACCAGTTGAGAGTGCAGGCGCAACAGCCGATGATTCACTTTGTGAAGGTTCTTGAGACATTGCTCCCGGTTGGATTTGGTTTACCTGAATATCAAATCATTTCAAATTTAGTTCCAAAGACCTTTAGAAGGTTGCCATCTCAGCAGATCTTGAAATTGCACAGGAAATACCCCATGAAAAGTTCTGGGTGGCTCAAGAGTCTGATTCACTCCATTTTGATCGGCGCTTATATTCACTGGAATTTCTTGAGAATTATAAAAGCTAAAAGAACTTCCTTCTAGGGTTTCTTTGTTCTCTTGGTTACCAAGCTTCTTTTGTTCTAAAGCGCATTTGAGCATGTTTACCACAGAAGAAACGTTATCTACATTTGCAACTGGATGAGTGTTGAATGCTGATGTGGATGAATTGGACGGAGACATAAATGACTGTAGCTGATTGGCCGTCTCAGCCCCTGAGACATCATTGAAATTAATTGTGTGATTAAATCCTTGATTCACTCCATTTAGTTCTTGTACTGGAATGTACGGAACTTCTGGGATTGTTGGTGTCTGAAAATTTTGCATCGCAGCATATCTCCTCCTGCAGATAAATATTTAGGATTCTTTTTCAAGTAAAGACATGTACAAAGTGACAAATCCGGAAAAATGTAATATGTGAGATCAATTTCTTTTCACATAAATAGTCATGGTCATTGCTGGTTAAACCTGTGGAGCACAGGATAAGCAGCTGAATAGTCTGATGATAAGTTAAGACTCGATAATTAGTAATAAACTTTGTATGACTAAGGTGTAACTCCTTGAACAACAGGACCTGGTTAACAACTGTATCAACTTGATAGAATATTCCGGGACACACGTACATATTAGAGGAGCAAAGATTCAAATTTCTGTTTCAGAATTCTAATCCCTGTACCCTTGTTTTCAACCTTCATACCCCAATTAATTAAGTTATGTACATAGAAAATATCAGCACAGGTTCAAGAAATAACATAATCAAAGCCTGTAACTAAATATGGAATCCTTTTCTTTACGAGGATACCATATAAATAAGAGCACATTACCTTAGTTCTGAGGATCTGCTCCTAGTCATTGGTTGAGAGCTATGAAACCATGCCTGCATGAAGTGCACAAGGCATAATAACTCAGATATCTTTCTACAAGAGTAAAAAAAATCAACCCTTACTTTAACCGTATTTTTCTTGCAATTTTTTTAAAAAAATTCCTAACCTTGGCCAAATATAAGTTACTAGCTTCCATTCCTTTCTCTGCTGCGTTCCTGATAGTGTGAGAAAGAGATATTAATCACTGGAAGCAACCTTTTTGAAGTTAAAAATCACAACAGACATTGAGATCCAAATCATAATGAATGTTTTTCTTCGCTATTCACAGAAATTATATTTATCAAACAATAATTCAAACACACCCAGATATAAGTATAGCAAATGGCATTTTTGGTGATCCACCTATATCTTTATGAAAGTATTGCCAGTATCTTCACAACTCTATAATGTAATGAAACTCCCACACATTGTATAAAAAAAAAACAAGTATGTAAACAACATTTGTTTCTTCATGAATACTTAAATAAAATCAAGAACAAAAACATTGCCATCAGTGTGGATTAGAAAGCACAGCTATTGATGCAGTTCTTTTAAATCTGAGGTAATATTGCAATCACTAATCACCAAAGAGAACGTGGAGTGGAGTTGTTTGAGGGTTCCTCCTGCCTGCTTAAACTTTGCTGAAATAAGTTCTCATTGCTATTTCTCTTTTGAAATGCAACCCCATTTTGCTGGCTTGAAGCAAGTTCTGTAGATAATCTGCAAATGTAAACACAACATTTAAGTAAAGGATGTGACAACTTCGCAAACCAAAACATATTCAGCCCACTAGAACATGTGGCATTAGCTTCTATACATGACATCATAAAAAAACAAGTGGTTTTTGGTATCAAAAAACAAGTGGTTTTTGGTATTAACGAATTTATCTACAGTATGGGCATGATTGCACTCACCTAGATGCTTGCCGAGTACGATGGCACTGAGCAGAATTGGCAGAACTGTAGCCAGGTATCTGAATGGAACAGTGAAACAAGTGGGCATTAAAAAAGCTACACAACCAACCAACTCATTAACAAACTTTCAGATACTTTGGGTTTTTACTCTCAAAGACAGGATTCAGATAGGACTCAGTTGCAAATAACATCGTCACGCTAAACAGTAAAATAGAGAGTAACAATACTTTCTTACATAAAAGGCGGTGGAAAATTAGGGAGTAGCTGCATGCTATACGTGATATTATAGTTCCATTAAATAAACAGATCTTACCATCTTTCTGTTGAAGATCAAATTAATAGAGAGAAGATGGGGGAATAAAGAAAAGGAAATAAGGGCAAAAGCATCAGTTTCTTGCCTCTCCATTCATCAACCAGCTATTGAATAGTTCCTCACTATCTCCACGAAAGCTCTGTGTGATGTTCCTGAACCCTAGCATCTCCATACTTGGCGCCGAGATCCCAATAGGATTCTCCATCACAGTCTTCAGAAACATCTCTTCACTAGAATTCCTAAGCAATTCAGAGAAACTTCTACCCCCTTCCATCTCCATAAAAGCTCTCTCTATATCCCCCCTTCACTGATTTTGGCCTTGCAAATAAATGCCAGCTAAATTCTCCTCGTTTCAATTCCTATTCAAAACACCCAATCATCTTCTAACTGTACCCATGGGAAAATAACAATTCTCCTCGTTTCAATTCCTATTCAAAACACCCAATCATCTTCTAACTGTACCCATGGGAAAATAACGAATCGGGTATTATCAATAACTACCAAAACAAAGTTCTATCAAAAAAATTTCTATAAATCTTTATACCAAGTAACTCTATTCTTCCAATAGAGAAACTGAGCTGCCAGATTTGAGCTAATCTCCCAACTCCAATCCAATCCAAGAAAAAAGAAATTCAACTGAACCACTATCGAAAAACACCAATTTAATCGGCACCAGCAGAAGAATCAAATGCAACAGGCCACCAAAACCCTAACTTTCAAGGCTTGAGTGGAAGAAAACTATAATTCCACTTTAATGATGTAATGACCCAATTAATTATTGAACTAAGTTGCATTATAATATGATTATATCAACGGATCTTCTCACAAGCATCTGTATAGATTCTAGTACTACGCTTTTGTCTCTTCCTTTCCAACTATTTAGGTTTGAAATGGGGGAAGTAGTAGCGAATTCTTTTATGGTCAAAAAATTTTGGGGGAGATCCATGAGAGATTATTATTATTATTAGAAAATTTTAGATTCGGTTGCAACTTATAATTGGCTAAGAATTAAAGGGAGAGGTCTCTGTTACCTGAGATCACGAAAGCCATGAAAGAGACCTTCAATTGCCTCCATTTTCGTATTTTTAATTTATAAAATTAAAAAGTTGGAGTCCGTCGGTCGCTTATTTATATGTTGGGGTAGGATGGAAGTTTTACATAAAAGCCCCTCACGTGTGTCTAATTACTTTCAGAAAAATTTATTGAGTGTGTTATAACAGTTCTATTTTAAACATAAAACGGATTTTTATGTTTAAGATTATTGGATAACTTGCATTTTCATTCAAATGTGGAATAAATAAAATAAAAAACCTCAGGCTGAAGTTTAATACTTAAAGAGGGTCTTTCATAGGCATCGACATTCTTTTCATGTGTTTTGAGCCTCTACGTCCAATTGCTGTTCAGTTTTAACTACGCAACAGAAGTCCAGAAATAAGTGAACTGTGATTTTATGTACTTCATAATTTCACCATGGAATTTCAAATTACAAGACCAGAAGCTAAACACATAAGTTAGTATCAAACATTTCCTTAGCTTTGCTCCACTTTCAAATGAATGAAACCAGAAATTTCTTACGAACTGGATGGAACACATTACAGCTATCACAAAAAATGACAATAGAAGAAAATCACTCTATTAAAATCAAGTAAAATTTCAAAATTTCGATACTTAGGTTCGAAAGAGGACATGAAAAATAGATCAATAAGGACGCAGCAAACTATTTTCAAGTGCAATTGTGATATCTCTGACCATAATATTGGATTACCCATCCCATCCACAGCTATAAATGTCTGTGTTTAAATTCATTATGTATTGATCATGGCAGGTTGCAAGTCCGGCACAGCAACAGGCCGGCCACAGCTGCCGACTGCAAACAAACACTGCTCTTCCCAGTTTGGTGCTGACCTGACAAATACACAGAGCGTTAATCATCGTAGGAAACTTCTAAGAACCTCATGAGAATGACACCTTAGTATAATAATTTGCATAATCATACAATTAGGGACTGTTTAGTTTAAAAGGTAACCAAATCAATATAACTCTAGTTACAAAAGAAACCAACAATTTGTAGCTTTAGTTGTAGTTATACCTGTAAATAACCAAAACGCCCATTAATGTACTTATGATGATGGAAGAAATGACCGAAGAATAACTATTATCGGAGCAAGTGGCAGGTCTGCAGCCGAAAATGATAGCATAGAGGTACAACTTTGAAGAGAAGAAATCTTAGTATTCTGATGTCGATATATCACGTTCCACCAAAAATGGGCCTTGCAGACCAAAGGGATTTTCATGTTACCACAAGTTGCCCAATCTTACAATCATAAAACAAATCTTCTTTCAGCATCATCTTTGTCATTTTATTTATTTATTTTTATTTTTTGGGCGAGGAAATGATCATGGTCAAGGACGGCATTTCTAGTTTCACATCAGCACAAATAGAATCCAAAGATATGATTAGACTTTCACTTCTATGTCCTTTTCAAATGATGCTAGCTTCTTAATGGCCCTTTTTACCTTTGCTGAGAGAAAAGGGTGGAGTATTCTTTAGAGGCTTTGCTTCCAGCTTCATAACCTGCTCCAAAGTATCGACAGAACTGTTATTAAAGGAAGAAGAATAACATGGCTGAAACAAGTCATAAGATTGATATTTCAAGAAACAGCATGCTTTTAACACATTTTATGAACAAGAAATGTATATGCAGTTCAAAAAAATTTGTTCTATTTATTTTATCCATCTTCATGTGAATATAGGGTTAGAAGATACTGACCAGAAACAAAATCCTCAACTTGCAATCTCTATTGTGTTTGTCAGAGAGATACTTAAACCAGTTTTCCAAAAACTACAAACATGTGTTAGCCTCCAACATATAGAATGAAACATTTGTCTCATATATAGCATATCGCATATATCCAAAAGCTTGCCTGATGATTTGGAGGTCAGACACAATAGGGTAAATTTACTTTGTCTTTGCAGGCCAGCAGTTCATGGTCTCTGACGGTAGGAGCAGAGCTTCTCGAATAAGTTCTGTGATTGGAAAGATTTTCTTGAACACGTTGAGGCCTATTAAACTGTAAAGATCTTATACCAAGTGAGACGTACATTCGGTAATCTTTTAAATTCAACTCAATAAGATTTACTAAATCAACTAAAAATAATGACAAACCATGTTTGTTTGACAATAATTTGATTGGTACACATAGGTCAAATTTGGGAATAATAATAAAAACTTACAGATGTAAATTTTCACCCATCTCAAAACCTATCTAAATTGTAAAACATATATAACACATATTGGTGAGGCGACAAATTTCGAGCCCAATTTGGAGATCATTGGACCTGGTTTCAAGCTAGACCCTGATAGGCAAATTACTGGAGTGGGTTAGGAAACCATTTAGTTTTCCTAATTAGCGGGCCTACTCGAGTCTGGAAAAAGAAACTGTGCCATCGTGAAGCTCAACACTTCCATGTATTTCTCTCATACCATCTGCAAGAGCCGCACACCAGGAAGATAACTTATTGTGTAAAGATCAACAAGAAACTGCTTTTGACAGTACAAACTTGACAACTGCAACATGGAATAAAGATTAAGATTAGCAACACATCAGAGAACAATCATAGCTACCTCAATCTGAATCAAAACCTATTTGTTCACCCATTTTGTCATCGAGCCTAAACCAACTTTGACTACACAAAATGATTTTTTTTGAAGAAGTTGCGCATGAGAACATGATTCTTGTTAACTAGAAGATATACATCACTATGGAAATAATATGAAAATACTGAAATGACACTAGTCCAACTTAGCGTAATAAGACAACCAAGAAATAGTGTGAAATTGTGGCATAATCACATGGTTAATAACCAGCAAATTAAATATACTTAAAAGATGATGCCTTTGAGACTTAAAACTAAGAAAGCATCAAACCTGGAATACCTCAATTCTCATCCAAAGAAGCAATATGAATAACCTATGACTGAAACAGCATAGGTGCCAAGGTGAAAGACACCTATAGTCCAATTCACAGTCAAAGTCAACAAATAGAAAATTACACCTTCATGCTCAGATGATTTATTTATGGCAGTTCACATGAAAGTTCAATCCAAACATTTCCTACTTGAAATTCTATGTCGAAATTACATAATCCATGAACACTTGAAATGAGAATAAGAAATAATATCTGCATCAAGGATCCAAAGAATATTAAATATTAAGCACTTTGCATTTTGCAACCAAGTCAAGAAAAGTTAAGTATATCCACACATCTCTAAACGGATGGCTTCAAGTTGATTCTGGAAAGAGTAAAAAAGATTTTCAGAGTGATGGTGCAACATAGAAGCTTTTCTGAGTACAATATTGTTTGGACGAGTGATACATTGTATCTCATGTATCACGTTCCCATATGGTGGAATATTTTCTTGCTGAAAGGAAGCGAAGGCACGAGAAAGACTGAATTCAAAGTCTTTCGTCATCAATGCACACCACACACTGGATAAATCTAAGAGAGCAGGCATCCCAGGGGGGAAAAATCACGAATTGTCGCTATAATCGAGTTAATGTTCATTTTTAAATAGAAGTAAGAGTTTACAACAACAACTACTACAAAGCCTTTATGCCAAAGTTTTGGGATTGGCTACATGAAACCTATTCTTCCATTTAGTTCTATTTGGGACCATCATCTTCTCTGTTAACTATTACCATATTCTTTTTACTTGCACACTGAATAAATCTAAGGGAGCACACATTTTCAAAAGGAAAAAACAATCAATAATTGCCAGTATAATCAATTTAAGGTTCATTTTTAAATAGGAATAAGAGTCTACTTCTGGGTTAGTAAGTATATTTAAAAGCTGAAGTTGTACCCAAGCAAAAGAAAAGGAGAAAACAAAAAGCCTCATGCAGAAGACTTGTAAACAGGAAATCCATGATTATATTTCTATGGCAATCTCGTGTTAATAATGTATAACATGTTTTGGACAATACAGGAATTACCATTCCTTGTTGGACATAACTCAGTGTATTAGAGCTTCACCATCATTCTCCTGTTCATCTGTTTCAAAATCAGGGAGGTCAGGACTTGTTGAAAATCTCATCCAACTCTTCTTCTCCGCAAACTTTAGGCAGGGTTGCAATGCACATCCGATCAGTATGCCACCCAAGCTTAAAAGCATGACTTTGAAAGATGCAAAAGCTATAAGGACACATATCAATGTGGTAGGAGGTGTAAGCATCAAAATTGCACCAACGGTTCCCAAAGGAATCTTGTAAGGACGAGAAGCCATTGGGTACTTCATTCTTAACTTGATAAAGGCTAGAAATTCCAGAAGCATTCCAATGCAGTAGAGGAAATTATCAGCAGCAAGAATCTCTTGAAAGCTCATCCAAGACAGAAAAAGCACACCAGAGGCGGAGAGCAAGATCCCCAAAAGAGGAGTTCCATACCTAGACCTCTTGGCAAAGACTTCTGGAAGCATTCCTCGCTCTGCCATTCCAAGAAGTTGATAGGAGTCAGTACTCATCTCTGTGACAAACATCCCCATATTGGACAATGCTGAAGCACCCTGAACCCAGCATCTCAACCAAACACCACCAATAATTTTTGCAATATCCGAATAATAACCATCAGTCCATCGCTCTCTATCAAGCGGAAGAGCCCCAGTGCCAATTATAAGAGGACACAAACACCCCGTAACAACCAAGATCAATCCATAAAAGAGTGCTTTCGGTAGGGTTTTTCTTGGGTTGTCGACTTCTCCTGCCAGTGTACTGATTGAATCATAATTATTATAATTCCAAAAGAGAGTGTTCACGTACAAGCTCCAATTGATAGTTCTTGGATTAACAAGTACAAACCATCTTGAGGGATGTAGGCTCGGAATAGCAACAAATCCCATAACAACAAATGGAAGCATCGAGAAGACTCCAAGGCAAACAGCTGTCCAACCAACTATAGTTAAGCCTCTATAGTTCATATAAGTTAGCGCTATTGTCAGAGCTAAAGCCGCCAAAGCCCTCGGTATCCCTTCACTTAAAGCCGGAATCCCTGATTTGAGATAGTCTAGAAATAGAACTGGATATAGAGCATTATCTATAACTCCACTGAGCCATTTCATCCATCCTTGCAGAAAACCCCAGTAAGGACCCAACGCAGAAGAGACCCAAACGACATAACCACCATCCTCCGGAAACATTGTTGCCAATTCAGCAGTAATAAGAGCTTCTGGAATGCACCATAGGAATGGGAATACTATAAAGCCAACGATGGCTAAGAATGGACCAGCAGCTCGAACACTGTCTTCTACTCCAAAGGGCCCACCAGAAACTTCATAAAAGATTAAGAAGATCAGGGGGATTATTGAAACTCTATGGAGTTTACTAGCTTTAGGGGCTTCCTTGCTAATTTCCTGGTACTCCAGGCCACCTTTTTGGCCCATGGAAATTGAAAGTGGTTGAATCTTTCGAGAGCTCCAAAGTTTCTGCATCAGCATATAAATTTAGTTTGGTTTCATCTATTTAAAAATGGAAACATTAGTAAAGATATTCTGCAGTGAAGCTGAAACATCAACACCTTTAACTCCATAAACGCTAGAAAAGAACTTACCTCAAGGAACAACTAGAGAAGAACTGAAGGAGAAATTTTGACACCAGGCTCAGAAGCTGAGGGTTGAACCCCCAACCTCAACAAGCTACTGAAGCTAATAGAGGCAACTGTCTTAGAATGAGCATGAGGATGGATCCTTATAAAAATAAACACACTAATTCATAAGATGTCATAGTCTTATCCATTAAATTCTTACAGGGAAGCTAGCTCTATTAGGGCTCCAATAATGCAAATGACCTTCCTCAATCAAAACAACCCGCAGCCCACTGCTCCTGGTCTATGATAAATCAAGGAAAACACCATACTGAATGGACATCCTTTTCGCAATTGCATCATTGGACAAAAGACTATAGCATGAGACATTTAGCCTCAGATAGCTGACAAGCCTATCATTATCACCATCTCATCCAGCTATAGCATGAGACATTTAGCCTCAGATAGCTGATAAGCCTTATCGCAATTGCATCATTGGACAAAAGACTATAGCATGAGACATTTAGCCTCAGATAGCTGACAAGCCTATCATTATCACCATCTCATCCAGCTACTTCCGTTGAAATCAGTATATTCTTGGACTTCTAAAAAATTTTACATTTCGAATTTGTGCAGCGCTTTGTTGATAGTAATATGAGATTTAATAGGCAGTTACTTTATAAAGCACATGACAGTCCACTTCTATCCAATCGACACAAGAACCAATGCCAATGGTTCATTTGCAGGTCTAAGTCTTGCTGTCAAACAGTAGAACGAAAATAATAATCTGGTTAATTTTTTAATGAGCCTTCTTTTTCAATCGGATGAGGGAGAATAGCAAATGCAAAAAACATGTCTCATTCATAGTGCCCTATTTGCCACAACTATAATGTCAAACATGTCAGCCGTTCTTTGTTGACAAAGGACAGTTAGGCACCGAAAGTTGCCGTTTTTTGAGAAAAATAAAAAAGGTGGTGGGTCCCACCGGGTCCCGCTAATAAAATATTATTAGTGGCGAGTCCCACTAATAATATTTTATTAGTGCATAGTGTTTCCCAAATACTATAAATAGGGCCTTAAACTCTTAAGGAAAACTCATCCCAGAAACAACTCCTCTCATAGAAGAGTAAGAGAGAAAACAGAGAGAGATTGTGAGAGTTCTTAGAGTGTATCTAATCAAGAGAGAGTGTTCTCTTTAATCTATTCTTTTGGGATATAAAAGAATTTGGCGTCATCGTTGCACCGTGGAGTAGCTCCGAAGAAGTGAACCACGTATATCTGTGAGTACTGTGTTGAATATTGTGCCTTTATTTTGTGTATTACGTCTCCGTCCGAGGTGTTATTGTTGGTGTGTACTGTAACAACTGGTATCAGAGCCTGACTTAGAGTATATATATCTGCTTATCGTATGCTCTGTGGCTGTCACTGAAAGTGGATCCTTCACATCAGAAAATAAGTTAGATTATTATTTACTCTTTTAAGGCATTGGACACTATTCACATGTACGACACTATTCAAGTGTACAATACTATTCACAAATACGGTATTATTCACAAATACATTTCGTGAAAGACGTAATATTTCGTAATAGGATCTACAGTTGAAGACAACAGATTTCGAATTGAGAAGTTCGGCGACCAAAATTTTAGGTATTGGATGATGCAAATAGAAGACTATTTGTACCAGAAGGATCTCTTCCTACCCCTCCAACGAGAGGCGGGGAAACCTGACAAGATGGAGGATGATAAGTGGAAGGTGCTCGACTGTAAAGCACTTGTCATCATCAGACTCAACCTTCACCAGCATGTGACTTACAACGTCTCGCATGCGACCACCACCAAGGAGTTGATGGAGGCCTTGGAGGCGCTGTATGAGAAGCCGTCTGCTTCAAATAAGGTATACCTGATGAAGAAGCTATTCAATCTGAAAATGCAGTAAGTTTGCTCGCGTGTCGAACTTCTTGAACGAATTTCAGGCTGTTGTGCAACAGCTTGCTGCAGTAGATCTCAAGTTCGACAATGAGATCCAAGCTCTTCTGTTACTTTCTTGTCTGCCAGATTTATGGGAGAATATAGTGATGACAGTGAGCAACGCCAATGGCAATGACAAGATGAAGCTCGATACGATGATTGGGGCAATTCTGGATGAAAGAATCTCGTCACAAAGTCTCAGGAGCTGAGGCCTCTAGCAGTAGGAGTACTCTGCATGTCGAGACATGAGGACGTGCGCAGAAGAAGGGTAGGGGACAACGAGACCAATCAAAATCCAGAGAGAAGTCTAAAGAGCCAAACCCGAATGGTTACAGTGAAGGGAAGTGCTTCAGATGCGGAAAGAAGGATCACTTTGTACGGGACTGCAGAGTTTCTGTTCCAGTATCAGCAGGGGATGATCGGGCTGATGGTGCAACCAATCTCATGCACAAGACGGATTCGGATGCGCTTCTCCTATCCCTCGAAGACAAAAGCGATGCATGGGTCATCGACTCTGGCGTATCTTTTCATGCAACCTCATAACAAAAGCTGCTTTCATCGTTCGTGAAGGACTTAGGGACAGTCTATCTTGACAACGATCAACCTTGCAAGGTTTCTGGGAAGGAAAATTGTACCCTCAAGATGAAGGGCGGGACCACCTTGATGCTGAATGACATTCGACATGTAGCGGATCTCAGGCGAAATCTTATATCAGTCGGGTAACTAACTGATTCCGGTTACAGAGTATCATTCGAGCAGAGAAGCTGGAAGGTGTCCAAAGGTGCCATGGTGGTGACATACGGCAAACGCGATGGGCCTCTCTACATCGCCAACGGGAAGATGGACCACTTGCTTGCCGCAGGATAAGCATCATCATCATCATCTGCCGACTGCATGACTTGGCATCGACGACTTGGCCACATGAGCGAGAAGGGGATGCAGATAATGACCGCAGGAGAGAGGCTTCCGGATCTAAACAAGATCGATCTGACTTTTTGTGAGGACTGCATCATAGGAAAACAAAAAAAAGTGAGTTTCAACACGACCGGACCGGCTCTGAAACTGCAGAAATTAGAGTTGGTACACACCGACGTGTGGGGACCTACGTAAGTCCCATCTGTTGGAAATTCTCTTTACTTTGTCACTTTTATTGATGATGCTACTAGAAAATTACGGGTGTTCTTCTTGAAGCACAAGTCAGATGTTTTCATTGTCTTCAAGAAGTGGCTTACCTGTGTGGAGAACGAAATAGGTAATAAGCTGAAGTGCTTAAAGTCTGATAATGGAGGCGAATATTACAGTCAGGAGTTCGAGAACTTATGCTCGTCCTATGGGATTAGGAGACTGAAGACCGTCTCAGACACACCTCAACACAACGGAGTGACGGAGTGTATGAATCGTACTATCTTGGAGCGCGTCAGAAGTATGAGGATCCACTCCGGATTGTCCAAGAGCTTTTGGGTCGAAGCTGTCAATACTGCTGCAATACTTGATCAACCGCGGGCTATCCGCGGCTCTCAATTATGGGATACTTGAAGAGGCTTGGACCGGAAAGAAGCTGAAGCTAGAGCACTTACGAGTATTTGATTGTGACGCCTATGTCATGACCAATCCTGCAGACCGGTCAAAGCTTGATCCAAAGTCAAAAAAGTTCTCTTTCATCGGCTATGAAGGAGATGAGTATGAGTACCGTTTTTGGGATCACGATGCGCGCAAGGTGGTGCGCAGTCGTGACGTCGTGTTCCATGAAAATGCGATGTACAAGACCAAAAAGGTGAGTGGGAGTCAGCTATCTCCCCCTCTTTTTCCAGATATTGCTGACAGTGAGGACGACTATGAGATACCAATCAGCATAGAAGACGGAGACCAAGAGAACGTACGGGATGCACAACAGCAGAATCCAGCAGAACTACCGATCGTAATTCACAAAGCTCCAAGAAATTCGAGGGTACCAGAGAGGTACCTTTCTACCATGAATTATCTTCTCCTGACTGACAGTGGTGAGCCAGAGAGCTATGAGGAGGTACAACAGACCAGCAAAGCTCGGGGCGAGTGGGAGTCTGCCATAGAGGAGGAAATGAAGTCCTTGATGAAGAATGGGATTTGGGAGCTCGTAAAGCTTCTAAGAGGGAGATATGCTCTTCACAATTGGTGGATTTATCGGGTCAAGGATGAAGCCGATGGACGGTGACGTTACAAGGCGAGGCTTGTAGTGAAGGGCTATGAGCAGAAAATAGTGATAGACTATTCTGACGTTTTTGCTCCCGTCGTTAAGTTGACGACGATCCGGAGTGTGCTGAGCATTGTGACAGTCCGAGATGTGAAGACAACATTCCTTCATGAAGATTTGGAGGAAGAGATCTATATGTATCAACCAGCGGGCTTCGAAGAACGAGGCAGGGAGGGTCTCGTGTGTCATCTGCGCAAGAGATTGTATGGCCTGAAGCAAGCTCCGCGACAGTGATATATGAAGTTCGAGAACTTTATGGAGGAGAACGGTTTTCTCAAATGTGACACAGACCATTGTTGCTTCATCAAGAGATATGACGAATCCTATGTGATACTCTTGATTTATGTTGATGACATGTTGATTGCAGGACCCGACTTGACCTGCATTGAAGAACTCAAGGGGCGTCTCTCAGAGTGCTTCAAGATGAAGGATTTGGGTTCAGCAAACCAGATTCTGGGGATGAGGATCATCAGAGACAAATCAGCACGAAGGCTGAGGTTGTATCAGAATGCCTACATTGAAAAGATTCTTGAAAAGTTTGGCATGAAAAAAGCTAAACCGGTGGGCTCACCGTTTGCAAGCCATTTCAAGCTATCGAAGACCCAAGCACCAGAGACTGCTGAAGAGCATGAGTTCATGACCAACATACCATATGCATCTGTCGTCGGGAGTTTGATGTATGCGATGGTGTGCACGAGGCCGGATATTGCATAAGGAGTGTGAGTTGTGAGCCGCTTCATGAGCAATTCAGGGAAACAACACTGGGGTGCGATCAAGTGGCTTATACGCTACTTGAAAAGCTCGTCCGACCGTTGTCTTGAGTATGACGGAGCAGATTTGCAGGTAGAGGGCTTTTGTGATGCAGACTACGCCGGGGACATAGACTCGAGAAGGAGTACGAACGGCTACATCTTCATCTTGGGTAGTGGAGCGATAAGTTGGAGATCTAAGTTACAGGATACTGTGACTTTATCGACAACCGAAGCCGAGTACGTGTCTGCAGCAGAGACAGCAAAGGAGTTGCTATGGTTGAAGGCTTTTCTTCTCGAGCTTGGAGTAAGCTTTGAGAAATACTTCATCCACTGCGACAGTCAGAGTGTCATTCAATTATCAGAGAACGACGCATTTCATACTCGGACCAAGCATGTTGACGTGAAGCACCATGCCATATGGAGATGGCAAAGCAGGAACGAGTTTAAGCTTGTGAAGATTAATACGAGATACAATCTGACCGATATGCTGACTAAGCCAGTTCCACTCGAGAAGGTGAGACTGTGTGCAGCCTCATATGGCCTCCGTTGAAAATGTTGAGGGCCGTGCAAGACGCCAAAGATATAAAACATCTGGATGATGCAATCAAGAATGATGTGAAGATATGATTGATACTCAATCAAATTTTTAAGTGGGAGATTGTCAGCCGTTCTTTGTTGACAAAGGACAGTTAGGCCCCGAAAGTTTCTGTTTTTTGAGAAAAATAAAAAAGATGGTGGGTCCCACCGAGTCCCGCTAATAAAATATTATTAGTGACGGGTCCCACTAATAATATTTTATTAGTGTATAGTGTTTTTCAAATACTATAAATAGGACCCTAAACTCTTAAGGCTTGTTTGGATTGAGGGGAATAAGGGTGAAGGGAAGTTAGGGAAACCATTCACCTTGTTTGGGAACATTTAGAAGGTGAAGTTATTCACCCTAGTTCCCCTTAGTTCATCCCTTAATAGTATAAAATTTATTACCCTCTAAATTGGGGTGTAACCAAGGGGAAGGGAACTCCATTCCCTTCCCTCACCTAGTTTTCCTTAACTTCCCTTAACCCCATTGAAATCCAAACACACCCTTAGGGCTTGTTTGGATTGAGGAGAATAAGGGTGAAAGGAAGTTAGGGGAACCATTCATCTTGTTTGGGAACATTTAGGAGGTGAAGTTATTCATCCTAGTTCCCCTTGGTTCACCCCCTAATAGTATAAAATTTGTTATCCCCCAAATTAGGGTGTGACCAAGGGGAAAGGAACTCTCTTTCCTTCCCTTCCATTCTCTCACCTAGTTTCCCTTAACTTCTCTTAACCCCATTGAAATCCAAACACACCCTTAAGAAAAACTCAACCTAGAAACAACTCCTCTCATAGAAGAGTAAGAGAGAAAACAGAGAGAGATTGTGAGAGTTCTTGGAGTGTATCGGATCAAGAGAGTGTGTTCTCTTTGATCTATTCTTTTGGGATATAAAAGAATTTAACGTCGTCGTTGCACCGTGGAGTAGCTCCAAAGGAGTGAACCACGTATATCTGTGAGTACTGTGTTGAATATTGTGTTTTTATTTTGTGTATTACGTCTCTGTCCGAGGCGTTAATGTTGGTGTGTACCGTAACAAAACACACACATGTAGTCTCTACACACCATTGGCTCCCAAGTTTTCTACGAATTAATAGTCTACGTATCACCAGTTCACCACTCAATACCAAAATTTTCTAGCTTCAAATCCTTCCAAGACTTTGACACCTAGACCTCCTATCCCTTGTCACTCGCCTTTTCTCCTCTATGCAACTAAGTTTTCTCAACTTGATGATCACATAACTAACAAATGTAGGAACCATTTCTGAAGCTCCTTGACCTGCACAACTATTTTATCCGTCTCCTGTGAGCATGCAACTTTTGTATTGCAGAAGTATCTGAGAATGTCGCTAGAATTTGGTCCCCATGTAATGCATTGGGGTGGCAACTTAACGATAGACTCCAATTTTATTTTTGTCATCCTACTAAATGTTCGGTGTGGGTTATAGCGTATCGGAACTTCTAGATTCAAGTTCAGACGATGCTTTTGTATTAAAATACGATACATAAACTACATTTTCCCCCCAACCATTTTTGGATCTCAGCTACAGTATGCCTCTCGAATCTACAGACTAACAAATGTTTGAGCGATGCTCAAACAATTCTATAGAAGAAGTAAGACAGGGAAGATGTCATCTAGCTCCGAAACAGCAAAAGGTTTTATTTTTTTTCTTAGTAGTTTCACCATCAAGCATCAACAGAAAAAGGGTAACCCACTCAATAAATTACCAAAAAAAAAAAAATTTGTTTGCTCTCATTAGTTCAACATCGTTTGCTCCATTGTATCAACCCATGAATCTGATAGCAAATCTCGATTAAAAACCCAAAATATCTCTAAATTGAAGAGAAAACTAAATCAAGAGAGACAGATTTATACCTCATTTTCTCCCGCTTTGCTCGGGGAATCCTTCTTCTCTTCGGCTTCATATCCTTTCTTCTCCGTCTCCATCTCTCAGATCTGGGTCAGATTCCTGCTACCGCTTCTTTGACTTGAAAATGAGAAGAAGCGAGAAATGTATTTTTTTTTTCTTTCTATTTTTTAAGCTAAAAAATGGAGCACGGTGTGATCTGAATTCGGTGCGAGAAGAGGAGCATAATGCTAGGTCAATGTAAGTACCGTACTTGTCTTTATCTGGCATTCCCCAACCAAATTCATCCACGTGTCAACCCTAAACTTTGAATTTTCAGCCCAGGAAATTTAGATTTTGCTAAATTAAGAAAACAAAATGAATTTTTTCCTTTCGCGCGCCCCCATAGAGCGCTCCTCTTTTGAGCTCCAACAAGATGAGAGAACGTAATAAAAGTATTTTCCCTTCTTCTCCTCTTGCAAATTAAAAAGCTAAACTACTGTATCATAATGTTTCCCTGTTTGATGTGCTCTCAATGAATGTCTTTCTACTTATTCAACTTGTTCTCTAATTCTGATTTTAGGTTGCTTTTTTATATGTGCATTAAAAAGACTTGGATTTTTTTTTTACTATTTTTCGGGAGTTATAACGGGCATCTAAATATACCTATTTGTAAACTATTATGCCGCAATATTGTATGTTTATATTGGTATAGATTTGTAAATTTAATTTTTTTTTTTTTGCAACTCACGAGGCTTGTGCCTCATGCTTTGAAGCTTATGCGTCCGTTCATAAAAGGATCTAGTTATCTGGCATGCGCTTCTGCTTCTTAAAACATTAATTTGTCCGTTTTAGATTTCAAAAAGATACTTGGATTCTCCTGAACTTCTTCAATTACATCCTGAAATCTCGGCACAGAAAAAAAACTGATCAATCAGATTCTCCATTTCTCGTGACTTCACAGTACAGGAGCAAACATGCACAATTTTTGTTAAGAGAACTCATATTAGAGCAATTTGAAGAAGGCAACAAAGCTAAATACGAGTACCAGAGAGACCCATCCATATCCTTCACTCTCACCGAACAAATTATACACTACAACAAACAGCAACATGAACATAAAAAACCCGAATCCGATCCCCTCTCCGTCGCCTTCAGACTCCTGCGGCTGCACCTGATTATGAACATACTTACTGAATTTTACCGAGTAGCTCTTGATCAGAAAATGAATCCCCAACATCAGTATCAACGGACCGATGAGGATATTTCTCAGCAGAAACACCACGAGCAGCAGCCCGAGTGGGATCACAATGAATTCACTCACGAAATGCACCATGAGAAGCAGAATGAGAGGAATTACAAAGAGCGGCGAGACTGTAGCATCTTCCTTCTCCGAGACGAGTGATGACAGCTTCACTAGATCAGGACCGTAGAGGAACAATCCGAGGGTGGCGATGAGGAGGAGGGGGCTCACTGGAGATGGACCTGAACTCATTGCTTTTTTTTTTAAAGAGAACTAGCAGTGACATTTTGCGGAGGAAGGAGTTCTGAGTATATAAAAAGTAGCAGCTTTCTAGTACTCTCGGGTGCAGCTAACTTTAACTACTCAACTGTTTGTTATTGAAAAGAACATGCGTGTACTTTTGTAGGAAGTTGAGGATTGATTAGTTTGTTTGGTTGCTCAAATTTGTTGGGAGATTGATTAGTGTCACTATACATAGTTTTAAGAAGTGAATCATTAGTCCCGGGGACCAAAAGAAAAGTCATGAAAAAAGTACCAGAACTGAACAAGTGCACATTATAAAGCTAGTCATTTTGAAACTCTACAAATCGGTAAGCATTTTTCTCAAAGAGATGTCAATAGCATCCATCGATTGAGTTAGGCTCAAGGTACCGATTCAAGGAGAGTTCATTATTTCATACTAAACACTGAACAGTAACCATAGCTTTATTTCAATGACTTAGCATAATGTTCCTGTTCTGTGTGTGAATATCTCAAATGATACAGCCATAATACTTTAATTTAGTACATTCACATTTTGACATTAGCTTGATGATGACAATACAATTTTCAGTCACACAGTCGGCAACAAATAAAATAGTGCTCATAAGAATTTCACGAAACTTTCCAATTAGCAAACTCAACAATCCGAACTTTACAATTACTTATAAACTTGTGGGTTGGGTATGCAATAAACATTATGCTAGTGACATGATCATGAACAAGATAAAAAGCACCGCATTCTATTTCTTGACGTTTAATGGAGAATGAAATTTGGAAAAAAAATAAAAAAAAATTACTGGAGGCCATAAACAAGCAAAGCTCCAACTCCCGCAATCCCGGCAACCAACCCAATAATAACTCCAATAGGCGGCAAGCCACCACCAATAGCTTTCCCTGTGTTCACATCATATGGCGCAAATCTCTTCTTTGGTGCTTTACACTGAGGACAAATATATGAATCGGGCTGTAAAATAATGAGATTTTATCAGCGGTGGATAAATTTTAGTGAAAAATTAGTATGAATTTTAATTAAAGAATAATAATGCCTGCCTGTTCATCAAAAGGCTTTTGGAGCGTGTAAATGAATCCACAGTCAAGACATATGTGGGTTGCTCGGGCCTGAAAGTTTTTATGTTGCATATCAAATCACAATGTACTAAGAAATAATAGGAGAATAAACAGGATTGAAATCCTTGCCTTTTGTGTTTCTGTTAATTTTCGACCAAAACGAGGTGGAGCTGGCCTTTTGGGCAAGCGCTTCACGTTGACTTCGGCACCTCTGAGTGAATATAGAGTAGTATAAGAAGGGAGCTGATATGGTTGGAGTGAATGTATCTTTTTATTTGTAGGGGTTTATACCGCATACACCCCTGTAGTATTGTTGTTCTGAACTAAATTAATATCTCCCAGTGGTTTCATTGTTGCAGATATACCCCCCGAGTAACTTCACTTTTACACTTTTAACATTAGGCGAAATTTTGGCAGATACTGCCCTCGGTGATATTAGCGAGTCTATCTGAGGATAAAAGAGTCTATACAGCCCAAGAGGTCTATTTGCAACAATGGAACTACAGAAGTAGTAAGTTCCCATGTGCAATTAACCCCTACTTCTTTTGTTATTGTAATGATCCTGTTATCTTCTATTTTGAATCCTCCGCGTCCTTCAAAATCTTTTGAAATACAGTTGGAAATTTTGATTAAAACTTGTCCATGTGCACACTGATCATCTTGAGTTTCACAGGTTTGCCTGATTTAGCCATTTAGCATGCATAGAGTTCTAAAACTGATAAACCAAGAAAGTTGTGATATTTTTCTACCTAATTTCAAATGATTAATTTATGATCTACTACAAATGTGTTTAGGTCTAAGCACTCCTTTTTCCAATCAATAAATTTCCAAAAGTCACCAAACTTGAATTCTATGACCACAGTACAATTCACTGAAGAAATGCTATTCAGCAATTTCAGTTCCTTTCGCTAACCATTTATCATATGCACATCAATATATGAAGAAAAATAAGATGTACCTGCTGACAACAAAGTAAACCGAGTCAGGTTTGGCTTGGATGGCAGTTTTGGTGAATCCCAGCTTATCAGCAGGCCAGAGTTCATCGCCAAAGAAACTGCTCGTGTATAGAACCTGATCCCCAGCTTTAAGTCCAGCCTTTGCAGCATTTCCACCATTATCCACAGCCTAACAAAATGCACATTAGAATACATTCACTAGGATACATAATCCTTCATTCTGAGAATTCAGCACATAAAACTGAATCAAATGAGCCCTTTAGGCAAACTAATTATAGTTCAATTAAAGTTTCTGTACTTCACTTAACTAGTCCTATCATAGCATGCACAAGAGAATTCAACTGCACTCTAGCCTTCATTGTACATTGGGTTACTATCGCCAAATTGCAGATAGACCCTCTGCAAGTTTATTGTTGGAGATGGAACCCCGGGATTCTTAGCTCCGTTCTGGGATTCTCAACTCCGTTAGTTTCGCTTTAAGATTGGGCTTCATAAACTGAAACGTATGAGCCCCATAAACTGATTTGCTTACTATAGACTTACATTTTGATCATCACACATGACTAATATAAACGGTATAGTGGTCTGTCCGCAATTAACCCTCGTACATATGCCTGTTATAGTTGCACGTATGCAGTATGCCTACAATATTTCCTTCAATCTAATATAACATGCAATATGCCTACAATATTTCCTTCAATCTAATATAACATAAACATTGACCAAGTAAATCAGTTTGGAAAATCCTCTATTCAATCTAAAACTCACAGTAATTACGACCCCGCCACCTGGTTTTTGCCCCAGCGTAAGTCCGAGAGGCTTGTCAACCTCGACTTCGATGCTCTTCGAAGCTCCAGCCGTCTTCGCATTAATCTGCAACCCTCCCGTTGCTCTATTTCCTCCACTCTTCTTGAATTCAACCGCGGAGTATCCCCTCTTCCCTTCCCACAGAGAAATCCCATGGAATGTACTTTTCTGAAACAAAAAAAGCAAAAATATAGATTCAACCCTCTTATTTTGAGAAGAAAAGTGGGAAAGTATGAAAACTTACCTGATTCTGGGCAATGAGAGATTTGTTGAGAGAAGAGATTGGCGGGTTTCTTTGAGAGTGTTTGGACAGGGAGATGGAGGAGGAGGAGGGAGAGGCAACTGCAGAGGCTGACATTGTTGAATGAGGCTAAAAACTGAAGCTTTGGATTGGTGGGAATGAGGAGAGAAGAAAAAAAGTGATTGGCTTTAGAGAGTTTGTGGATGGAAAAGGGTGAAGGAAAGAGGATAGAGGCGTAGGAGAACTCAAGCCACTAGTTACTTTTTGGAGGGAGTTTGCTCAACACAAGTGACAAGTCCATGGGCACAATGAAGTGATACGTATTGGTGCTAGGGGTGCATTCGGTCCGGGTAATGGCTCGGATATGATACTTATCATATTTATATCCGCTTATTCATCTCGGATACGGATGTATCTCGGTAAGAAAAAATCATATACATGTCCACCAAAACCGGATTTGGATACAAATATACATGCGGATATGCATGCGGATGCAAAACGGATATGAGAAAACTCGATACTATTGAAAAAAATATAGTTCATGTGATAGAAAAGAGTTCATTAATATGTTCATTATATCTGAAAAGCTGATATTAGATATCTTGATCATCAAAATTAACCTCAAGTCCATAATCTAAGGATTTAAACTATTGTAACAGTATGACCAACATGTATTCGGATATTTCGGATATGGATCCGGATATTTCACTGCAAAAACATATCTGTAACCATATGCTATCAGTTACAGATTTGAGTAGCCATAATCGGTCGCCTATTAAAGCACAATACCCTATTTTTTTGTCTTTTGGTCTTCCAAGTTATGAACCTGTGAGTAATCTACATATCTTTTGAATTTCCAGGTTGTGAACTTGTAAAATAGCTTACATCTTTTTGAATTTACGGGTTGCGAACCTGTAAATTTCCTATCATTTCTTTTGAGCAAAATCGTTCCTTCGATCGCCTACACCGTTCCGGTAGAAATCCTTTTTTGAAAATAACAATCGCAGATATAAATCCCCGTGTTTCATTTAGAAGAATTTAATACAACATTTCCCGCTGGAAAAAAATAATGTCCCCAAAACTTATATAAAGTTTCCAAGGAGAGGAGGGGGGCTGTAAGTACTAAAATCTTCTTAGGGCGCGTTTGGTTCGGTGTTAAAGAGGCGTTTATGCTTAAAGTCTGACACAAATGGGACACTGTGTCAGGTTTTCAAGCTCAAAAACACCGAACCAAACGCGCCCTTAATGCACGTATGAGGAATGATTGTTAGCAAATTGTACTTTATGCCTTACGCGCAAATGGCGATAAAGATTACAATAAAAATATAATTAAAATTCAAAGATCCATTTTATCATCATTACGCTCAAATTAGGCGGGGGCAAAGAATGCTTACCCACGTCAGCGCTCCCGCCGGTGGGGTCCTATTTACTAGAAGAAGAAGAAGAAAAAAAATGGATGCATGAACCTACGCAAGAACAAGATCCATCAGTGTCCACGTGTCTTACTCACGTAGAAGCCGTATTACATTTTCCTGTTCATCGCTTTTCAGCAGATCCGCTCCGTCTCCTTCCTCCAAAAAAACCCCCAATTTCAACCCCAAAACCCTAACCCTAACTTCTTCCTCCATTAATGGCGATCGCGACCTTTCTAGTCCTCCTCCTGTTCTCTCTCCCCTTTGCATCCTCGATAGAGCAAGAGCAACCACAGAATCAGCAACAGGAACAGCAAATTCAGCAGCAAGATCAAGTCTTTTCTCTCCTCGAACGCCACGAAGCTCAGCTCAACCGACTCGAAACGCTAATCGAGTCCCTATCGAAGTCCGTCTCCGTCCTCGAATCATCTCTCTCCTCGAGATCCGTACCCTCGATCGCATCGCCTCACTCGATCGCATCCGCCAGGCTGAAGCCCTTGTTCTCGGAAAAGTTCGTTTTTTCCGCCGTCGCCCGCCTCGAATCGGAACCCTCGTGCGCCGCCACGCTACCGTACGCCGACGCCACAGGCGTTTCCAAGTACTTCGCCGTCGGCGATCCACGTGGCGTCACCTACGTGCTTTCTTCTGTCGGCGAGGTCGTTCTCGAGGTTCCCGCCGTCTCGGACTCTCCGGTGACTGCGATCCTTTCGTATGCTTCGGCTTCCAGAAAGAACGAGAGTCTTCTCTTCACTGGTCACGCTGATGGATCGATCGCGGCTCATAAGGTCTCGGAGTCGAACGTTGGAGGTCTGCTGAGGTTGGTTATGGTTGGGTCTCGGCCGTTTGTTCGGGGGAGCCGAGATCTCGATTCGCCGCCGGTGGTTGTTCTTGAGCTGCACCAGATTGGGAGGACGAGGTACATTGTTGTTGCTGATGGTGGTGGGAGAATTAGGGTTTTTACGGAGAATGCTGGGACTTTGTATGGGACGGCAATCACATCGTCTAGGCCGCTGGCCTTCATGAAGCAGAGGCTACTGTTCTTGACGGAGACTGGTGCTGGATCACTGGACCTCAGGTTATGTTTTTTGTAGAATAGTCTGGGCATTGACAAATGTTAGTATTTGATAAGGAAACTTTTATCTTATTAAATCAGATAGTAGTTGCATGTTCTAGTTCTTAAAATTTATGTGCTTCCTCTATTGACTTTTGAAGGCGACGTTCCTTCTAACCCCACTAAGATTTACGCATTGAACATAAAATTTGTACGTAAGAGCATATAACATGGGATGAATTTTAATGGGTGGAAACAATTCCTTTTAAACCGATTAAAAATCTGAGCATCAAACAAAAAATATTGCACTTCAGAGTATATACATTGGATGAGTTGAAGACATTATCTGCCATTACTTTTATTTGGGGTTAAACTAACATATTTGAACTAGAAGACTAATCGGGGGTAAGTAATGTATTTTGAGGAGCTTATTTTGTTATATCTACTTTTGGGGTAATCCCTTCAGAATAGATGAGATCTCGGGGACCAATATCTCGAAAATGCTAAAACCTATGCCTGTTTATTAGCATCATTTTCCTTGTTTCTTTTATGTTATTGAAGGTAAAAGTTAGAATTCTGTTAGTCACCACAAATAAGTAAAGAACAAGAAAAATCATGTACTACTATGTCTTCCATTTAAATTATATCAGACTCCTATAAGGCCACATCTTTAGTCAATGACATTGTATTGAGTGTATACTTTTGCAAGTTTCAGCTTTATGAACATTTTTTCTCCCGACACTGCAGGTCGATGGTGATCAAAGAGAGCGAGTGTGAGGGTTTGAATGGTTCACTTGCCAAAGGTTATGTTTTTGATGGGTCTGAAAGGGCCAAGGCATACGGTTTCACTTTGGAAGGTGACCTTATCCATGTTGTACTCTTGGGGGATACCGGCAACCTCAAGTGTAGGGTTCGTTCCATCCGGAAGTCTGAGATTGATAGTGGACCTGTTTCGATACAGGCAATCAGAGGGTACCTTCTTGCTGTAACTCAAGACAAGATCTATGTGTACAACGTCTCTTCTCAGTATTATGGCAGAGTTGGAGCACCTCGGCCTCTGTTTCTTTCCACCTTCCAAGAGATCAGGTCAACGTTCTTGAATACTGATTCTATAACTGATGGGTTCTCATCGCCAAACCCTCTCATTGCTACAGATCGTGAAAAGCTTGTAGTGTTGGGGCTCGGTGGTGGGTATATTGGTATATACCGGTCAAACTTCCCAGTGTTCAAGTCTGAGAGCAATGCTGTGTTTTGGACTGTCCCTCTTCTCCTCTTTCTCTTGTTTTTAATTGGAATTTGGCAGTTCTATGTAAAGAAGAAGGATTCCCTTGGTTGGACACCTGAGGAGGCTTTCAATCCCACCACTGCATCATCTGGGAGCCTTTTGGTTCCTGGTCCTGGTGAGAGAGCATTCGGGGATGTATCACGAGGTGGTGACTTTCGGGAACTAAGAGGAAGTGGCCTCAGAGGCCCTTCTAGAACTTCTAGGTATGCTGGAGGATCTTCAATTCCATTTAGGCCTTCTTCTTCAGATGCTGCTTTTAGGGGCACTGCAGATTTGAAATATAGAGCGCAGAATCTCGACACTCCTCCTGGCTTCCCTGCAAGAAGAGAACCCTTGTTTCCAAATGCCCAAGTTGTAGATGAACACGTCGATTGAGTTTTCTAATGCACTTTGAGGTCTTCCACCATTCGATCTTTGGTTGGCCTAGCATGCCTTCGTTGGGGGTTCTATGCTTCTGATGGATTTTGTTGTAATTTTAGAAACACTGTAAGAGAATTCACTGTAACACTTCTGAACTGTGAAGCAAGATAGAGATGATATGGATTAGCTCATTTTGTATTATTTAACACTTGCCAAGGTAATGTTATGGACCACAACATGAATTAAGGGATTCTTTTAACTTATTTTTGTTGTTTTTTCTTTTATTGAATGTCATGTAGTTGATTTAGTGGTCATATCATCCATGCTCTCCAATTAGTTCACTTGACAATTAAATTGCGCACAAAATGGCTTTTCGCCATAGTCCATAACTATTGGTTAAGTTGACTTTGGTAGCATTTATGTGGATAATCGACTCGTTTGCTTGACTTGTTAGGTTCTGGGACAAAGGAAAATGTTAGATTTGCTCTCTTTGTGTGTGTGTGTGTGTGTGTGTGTGTCCCTTTAATGTTTCTCCTCAGCAGTTCAGTTTTGTTGATGGAAGTGATAATAAGTTCTTTGATACCATAACATCATCTGTGAGTAAAAGAGTCAACTTACTGTAGCTTCAGATATATCAGTAGCTTGGATATTTTTAAAACAGCAGATGCACATTTGGAATGCAATGCTTAATAATAAAACTTTAGTCAAAATCAGGTACTTTGTATTTGGAGGGCATTAGTACAGTATTCATCCTACTGTATCTTTCTACTCTACATGGTCAGTGTATACTACGCCCTTGATAATATTTGTTGTATACGTTTTTGAGGAAATTGGGGTCAAATTCATATTGGATCCTCAGGTAAACATATTCACTGTCAACATTGTTTTTTTCTATATTAATCAATAATGAAATTGCAATTTTATTGACTATAGTTGAATTCACTGTTCTACTTAAAGAAGGAATATAGCTATTTGCTACTCACAGTAGATATGTTACTAAAGATTCCTTTCTGCGTCCAGATTGTTTTGTTCTCCAGGTTATGCGCATCTCCAGGTGTAGCTGATTTGATGAAGAAAATAGGAGTCAGTACTCTTCCTGTACAAACCTCAGTAGATGATATTGCCAAATGGTGGCTGCGTTATGATTAAGGTTTGGTACTCTTTCCTGTTACGTATGTCATGTTGGTTTTACTGTAATGGCATCTTTAAGGTTTTGCGACGGCCAAGGTTGGGTTGATTGTTTTTTGAAGTTGAATTGTGTTTGCTTACTCTCAACTGGAGTGCTCATCGATCGTATTTTAGGTTAAGTGAATCCTATATTGGTTACTTTCAGGTCAGCTATTCTTTACTTTTCTCCAGAGATTTTGATCGTGGAATATTTTTAGTAGTTTTAAAGCTACTTTTGCTGGTATCATTTTGGTTCCTCTATTACCAATCAGGTTGTTATCATACTTTATGAGATATAACAGTATCTCTAACTAATTAGAATCGGTAGCTTGTTGTCGGGATCATATGGCAGCTAGTTTTAAAGTTTTATCACCCCTGGAGATCCTCCACGTCCAGCAGCTCAATATAGGGGTAACTGGTCATGAGGAGGTCCTAACTACTATATTATTATTATTATTATTATTATATCGCTGTTCTTGATACATACATTCAGTAACATCTGATGAGCACATTTACAAGGCATTCAAATCTTCAAGTTCGTGCAAGTTCGTGCAAGTTCATGCAAGTAGGTTAAATTCATGATGGTTATACTATGGGTGTCAAGATGGAGTAACAATCCTGTCAGAGCATCCCACTGTAGGGGGTGATCTGAACCTTACGATTGGACTAAAGGGGGGCATTTTGGTCATTTACTTGCTCCCCATTTGGCTCAGATCCTCCCGCACCGTAGGGGAGGTTCTGATAGGAGTCGAAGTGGCCACACTACACTTTTAAAGACAAATTGAAGAGAATGTCACCGTCTAAGAAATACTATTATTACTAATATGGTAAGTATTTTGGTAAATATGAATGCACAAGGCAGACTTGTTTGAATTTCGGAAAACCTGATACATGCATATCGAACAAAATGTACAAGGCGAACTTGCACAATGACATATGTTTGGCCTTTGGACGTGTAATTGTGATCAGCAGGGCCACATGAAGCAAAATTAAACCCAGATCTTATAGTAAGAAACCTGATCCAAAACTTGAGTAACGCAGCAAGTGAAAGGACCGATATTCCAACAGGATCTCCAGCAAGCGATATACTTGTGTTTACTGCCTACTCCTGTAAGTTTAGCCAAAGGCTCCTTTTATCGGCCTTTCTTGCTCGTTTCTCTGTTAATATCAACTTTACTTTTTATAATTCCTAAGGTTGAGAAATAGCTTGATAATGCCAGCAGTTCGATTTTAGTTGCATTTATTTAGGCAAGCCATGAGCAGCACTTCAACTGCTGTCAAAAGTACAGACGAAGGCGTAAGGGGAAGTGAAATGGCAAATGTACTCACAAAGACAAATCAGCTTCGATGTGTTCTTCAAGCCTGATGAGAATCAAGGAGAGTGAGAAAAGGTGGAAAGCTTGCGAGATGATGCATTGTTAGTTTTCAATGCGACCTTGTTTGTTTTGGCATCAGAAACTGCTGTGTTTTTTTATGAACAAGCTGCTGCATCTACTCTGCTGTTGATGATTATTAGGAACGTATTAGTTCTCGTCACCAAGCTGGAGGCCAGGAAGATGGAGATTTTTAATTTATCTCTAATCAAGGAATGAAGAATTGAATTATATTGAATATGTAACAGCTTTTTTTTTTTTTTTTTTTATTTTTAAAT